CCAAGCCCACAGCAGCAGCAGCGACCGCCCCAGCAACAGCAACAGCAGCAGCAATCACAGCAGCAGCAACGGCACCAGCATCAGCAGCAGCAGCAGCACCAGCAGCAGCAGCACCAGCAGCACCAGCACCAGCAGCAGCAGCGCCAGCAGCAGCAGCACCAGCAGCACCAGCAGCAGCAGCCGCAGCAGCAGCAGCAGCAGCAAGGGTACAGCAACAGCAGCTATGGGACCCCGCAGTCTCTTCTAGAGGAATTGCGGCTGCGGCAGCTGCAGATGCGGCAGCATTTGATACCCAAGCCCCGTCTGCAGCAGCAGCAGCAGCAGCAGCAGCAGCAGCTGCTGCAGCAGCAGCACTTGCAGCAGCTGCTGCAGAAGCAGCAGCAGCACCTGCAGCAGCAGCTGCAGCAACAGCGCCTGCAGCAGCAGCAGCAACTGCAGCAGCAACTGCAGCAGCTGCTGCTGCAGCAGCGCCTGCAGCAGCAGCAGCAGCAGCAGCAACTGCAGCAACACGTGCAGCTGCAGCTGCAGCAGAAACAGTTGGCGCCGAAGCCACAGCTGCAGCATCAGGCATTGTCTCAGCCAGCAGCAGCAGCAGCAGCAGCAGCAGCAACAGCAGCAGCAGCATTCTCGCATCCAACTGCTGTTTTTGCTAGCAGCAGCAGCAGCAGCAAGCAGCAGCAAAGCCGCAGCTGCAGCAGCTCAGTGCCTCCTACAAAGAGAAACAGGAGTACTGCTGCTGCTGTTCCTGCTGCTGCTGCTGCTGCTGCTGCTGCTGCTCCCGTAGTAATCACTCTCAGCGACTCGGACGCAGCAGAAGACCAGTCGCCTTCAGCAGAGCAGCAGCAGCAGCAGCAGCTACAGAAGCATCAGCAGCAGCAGCAACAAAAACAGCAGCAGCAGCAGCAACAGCAGCGGCGTGCTGATTCGAGTTCGGCGGATGCTGCTGCATCAACACGAAGTGAAGCAGCAGCAGCAGCAACAGCAGCAGCAGCAGCAACAGCAGCAGCAGCAGCAGCAGCAGCACCATCAGCAGCAGCAGGAACAACAACGGCTGTGACGAAGAAGCAGCTAATGGAGCAGCAACTGCTGCAGCAGCTGCAGCAGCAGCAGCAGCAGATGCTGCTGTCTAGCGAACCGGGAGACACACGAAGGCGTGTGCTGCTGGACCTGCAGCAGGAGCAGCAGCAGCAGCAGCGTAGAAAGCGACGAAAGAAAACGCTTCCTGCTGCTTGCCAAAGCAGCAGCAGCAGCAGCAGCAACAT